ACATGAACAAGGTGTCAATGATTCTGCAGATGGCAGGATCGGCTCGATTCATAAGTCCGGGAAGAGGGAGCTGTTCAACCTCAGTAGAAAATGGAAAAATGCAAAACAAACCAATGAGATTCCAATTACACCCACCTAATTGGAACAGTGAGAAAGCCAAATGGTACTAATACTCGATAGGATGGCAGAACCCTCAGGCACTACAGGCGGAAGGGCAAACTGGTACATACTCCAGAGAATCATCTATGAGTCACCCTGGGGCCCAGAAACCCCACGTGCACACCCCAGATGCCCCCACACAGGTCCTCGAGAAGACATGTCCCAAGCCACAGCAACGAGCTGAGTGCACAGACAAGGGACAGCTGAAAAGAACATATGTCTGTTGTAAGGAAACTCAGAGCATGTAAAAATTTTTATTTTTCAGGTTATGTAAAAACATAACCTGAAAAATAATAATCACCCACATCCATAAATGTGCACACACACAGATTTCTTTGCACACTCATTGTATGTATATAATTTATGATTTAAATGCCATCGTACTATCCATACTATTTTGTAACCCGTCCCACTCAATAATAGCTATTAGATCAATGCCATCATTTTTTTTCACCTGTTTCCTTTTTTTTTATTTTTTTTAATTTTTAATATGCCATCATTTTTAACAGCTGTACTGTATTCCACATGTTCCATAAATTATTTAACCAAGACCCAGTTGTTAAATACTGAGGTTATTTAAATCCTTTTACTACCAAACAGAACTGCTCTGAACCTTCCTGCCCATGGACCTTCGCTGCTTCTTCTAATTAATAAAATTGGAAGAAAGACGGATCACAGTGAAAAATGTGTGTACCCTGGGAATGGAATGGCTTCATTAAAGGTATCTATATATTTCACTACAATATACATTCTGAGCTTTCCTTTTCTTTTTTTAAATTTTTTTAATGTTTACTCATTTTTGAGAGACAGCATAAGTAAGCAGGGGAGGGGCAGAGAGAGAGAGGGAGACACAGAACCCGAAGCAGGCTCCGGGCTCTGAGCTGTCAGCACAGAGCCCGAGGCAGGGCTCGAACTCACGAACCACGAGATCGTGACCTGAGCCAAAGTCAGATGCTTAATAGACTGAGCCACCCAGGTGCCCCTCTGTGCTTTCCATTTTAACAGTTTCCTTGGCTCCACATTTTTCCTGCTGTCTGGCCAGGTGGCTCCTTCAGGGAAAACACACAAAGGGGCTAGCTCTGCTGCTTGGTAAGCAATACCCTGACTATACTCTTCCTCCCTTGTCTGCGTTGTTAAGGAAATGGAGAGTCTCCATCCAAATATATTCCTACCTCGCAGGCTTCTGGCATGAGCCAGGCATCTGGGCGCAGAGGACATTTTGAGAAACAGCAGTAATATAAAATACTTAGAGGAGTTCAACATTCATTTGCTAACAACATCTTCATTAGATGCCAGCTTGTGCTTGGAGGCTACCTGGTGCCAGAGAGGCACAGACGATCAAGGGCCAGCCTTGCTCTTGGGAGTCCCCAGGCTGGAAAGCAGAGGGTCACGTTCAGTGACTGTCTCAACTCCATGTAGGAATTTCCAAACTCCAGAGGTGCTCAGGGAGCCCTGGAGGGCCCTGTTGGAGGAGGTTTCTCAGAGGAGGCAACAGAGGAGGGCAAAGAGCCATGAGCTGGCCGTGTAGCCTCGGTGGCAGAAGGGACTCCAGGCAGAGGGTCAGAGTGGAGCAAGGCATGCAGGTCCCAGGCCATGTGGCACCTCTGGAGAACCTCTGGGAGCCCCGCGGGGCTGGAGCAGTGGGCAGAGCTGACACAGGGACTCGAGAGAGAGGCAGGGCCCTGTTCATGAAGAGCCAACATAGTCTGCAGCCTAAGGAGCTTGTTTTGGGGGGGAGGGGGGGAACAGGTGGGCAGAGGAAGGACAAGACCAGAGAGGGAGGATGGACAGGGCGGGGACAAGGCTGGCAGCAGGGGCACCAGTGTGAAGGCTACTGCTGTGACTTAGAGACAAGGTAGGGAGGCAAGTCCAGCAGAAGTGCTGGCAGGAAGGGGCGCCTGGGTGGCTTAGTCGGTTAAGCGTTAGACTTCAGGTCATGAAGCTCAGGTCATAATCTCACAGTTGGTGAGTTCAATCCCCACATCGGGCTGTCTGCTGTCAGCACAGAACCTGCTTTGGATCCTTTGTCTCCCTCTCTCTGCCCTTACCCCGCTTGCTCTGTCTCTCTCTCTCGTTCTCTCTCTCTCAAAAATAAACATTAAAAAAAGAAGAAGAAGAGGAAGAGGAAGAAGGAAGAGGAGGAGGAGGAGGAGGAGGAGGAGGAGGAGGAGGAGGAGGAGGAGAAGGAGAAGGAGAAGGAGAAGTAGTAGTACTGGCAGGTGGAGAAGCTCCATGGGGGAAGAAGGGATGTGGGCACAGGCGAGATAGCCTCAGGGTCACTCGAAGGGTGGAACGGCCAGGACTCAGTGACTACACGCTAAGGATCTGAGAGAGGGAGCACATAAAGCATGACACCCAGCCGGGACAACAGGTGGTTGGGGAGGCCCGACGAACCAAGCCTGCCAAGGGCTGTAGAGAGGAGGAAAGCTCACGGTATAGACCACGAGCAAGATGGGGCGCTGGCGCTGCCTCAGCCACAGATTTATAGCACATTCTAGAATCTAGTGGGCAACTCACTCTACTCCCTGGAATGTGACTTTCTCGTCTGCAAAGGACCACATGGGGACTGTGTACCACTAAGGCCCTTCCCAGCTGTAAAATGCTTTAAGCTCCTGTCGGCATCAGAAACCGGGATGGCAGTGGTCCACCTGCAAACTCACCCCAAGAAAGACACCTTCCATGGACGAAGAGGCAAGTCATATATGACTAGCTTCTATAAAATCAGAACCTTCTTCCTACACGAAGCAAACAAGCAGACGAGGCCTGAGCAACAGGCAGCTCACATCTGGCCACATGCTGACTGCCTTTCTCCCCCACCCCTTGGTAATAAGGAGCAGACTAGCAAAATAGTTCAAATGCCTTCTTAAAAAGCACACTGCCTTGTAGGCTCAGAGGCCTATTTTGAGCAAAATGTTGCAAACCTCTGTGCTCAGAGCCAGTCTAGGCATCAACAGCTCACTCCAGCTGAACGATCAGGGAGTCAGTGAAGGACTCTGGTGCCTCCACTGGATGCCAGGCCAGCATCCGGCACTGAGATACGAGGGGGGACTGGACATCCCTGTCTCCCAGGTCTGTCTGCTCAGAATGGGAGCTTGACAGCAAACCCAGCCACCCAGCCCTGCGCAAGAAGGCTTGTATGGAGGATGTGCAAGGCTAGCGCTGGGGGAAGCCAGAAAAGGAAGTGGACCTCACTCGAATGTCCAGAAAACTACTCAGAGGAAGGAGCATGGGAGCTTGATGCAGACCTGGAAGGTGTGCCGCAGGAGCTGGCCCAGCAGTGGGAAGGCACAGGCCAACCATGGAGCATAACAAAATAAGCAAGGGACGGAGAGAAGCTCAGAAGGGCTGGCTGATGGCCACCGGGTGGGCTGGGGCCAGTCTGTAAGAGCCCTGAAGGCCACACCCAGGTAGCAGTACAGGGAGCCACCGAAGTTTGCGAGCAGAGGAGCGAAGGCAGTGGAAAGGATGGGGTGAAGAGGGGCAATTCAATGACCAAAGTACATCAAGGGGACCAGCACAGTGAGGAACAACATGGCAGGGACCAGGGCAGGGGACAGAGTGGGGGTGGATGTGGGAACACTATTCCCCTTTCTCCATTTTCTCAGGACCACTGGCATTTAATCCTACAGACCCGCAAGGAAACACTTGGACGCAGAGTTGCACAGCACCAACAGCAAACCTCAACAGACAGCCCGACCCTGCCTTTCCAGGTCTGGTTTCCACTCCTGTGATGAAAATGCTCCCGGGAGGAGAGTCAGCCCCTGGCCCCAACCCTCCAACAGCTGATCAAACAGCAAAGCACACTGTGTACACTTAGAAGGGGGGTGGGGTGGGCACGGAATAACTCACTCACACACACACACACCCAGATTTCCAGGTGGCCCGCCTGAGCAACAGGACACATTTGCATCATTTCCTGCAAAAACAGGATTTCCCAGGCATTCAGAGAAAATGTCCCCCTTGCATTCCCTGTGGTCTTCTCCATCTCTGCTCCAAGGACCCAGGGTCCTCCTTCCTTATTTCCCATACACTTTCCCCCTGAACTTGAGCAACCTACAAAAGCCTCCCCCAGACCCTCATGCCCCAGTAAGTCTTCACTGGGGCAGCCCCGTCAGGCAGGAGCACAGGAGAGCCATGTGTATCCCCCAAGAGAAAGTCCCTCAGACCACCAAGGGCCGCCAAGCACCCACCCTGGTGCCCAGCTCCAATTCCTGGTGCAAAGTCACCTCCAACACACGCCCTGGGCGCATTCCATCCTCGATGCTTTTGTTGTTGTTGTTGTTTTTCTTTTTGGTAGCACAAGGAAGGAAAAGGAAAAGGGCAGGTGGAGCACTGGGGAACCTCCGAAGCAAAAAAAGGAAAGACCAGCAAGATGGGTAAAGTTGACGGCAGACGGACTTGGGCTCAAATTCTACCTCCACCACTGAGTTTACTTGGATAAACCACCCCGCTTTTCTGGAGGATGTTTCCCCCATCTGTGAAATGGGTGTAAAAATAAATTCCGTGTAAAAATAAATACTGAATTAATTACCAGAATTGGAGCGCTACTGTTAGCTTAAGTGCTAGCAGAGAGTTCAAAGGAATCCAGTATTCACGACAGCTATCGTTAAAGGGGGGAGAAAATTTATAAAACGTTTGGGGGGTGCGGGGCGGTCGGCAGAGCGCACGCCCGCCGGGTAGGGCCGGAGACGCTCGGCTGGGCTGCCTGGAGCGCACCGAGGCCCCGAGCGGAGCCGCGCGCCCGGAGCAGCCGTGCGCGCGGGGGTGGCGGGCGCGCGGTGACAGCAGGTTGGCGGGGCAGGTTGGCCCGCGGGGGAACGACAGCGAGCGTGCGGACCCACCTGAAGACGCGCAGCAGCAGGCAGGCGATGAGCAGCGCGGTGAAGGCGCACGCCACTATCACGGCCGCCTTCAGGGTGGGCAGGTCGCGGAGCAGGCTGGAGATGCGGGTCACCAGGGCGTCGCCGCTGCTGTTGGAGCTGCCGCCGCCGCCGCCGCCCGCCGCCGCCGCCGCCGCG